TATTTCTCTTTCACACTAACCCCACTTATACTACTTTTTTTTTTTATATATAATTTTTCTCTCTTATCAACAATACTTTATATTATAAAAAATCCTCTTTTAGACCCCACCCTATAAATTTTCTTAAAAATTGTGAACATCCTAGTGTTGCAATTAATACGAAACGGAAGGAGTATTTGAAAAATAATAACTTTTGTAGTATAAAGGGTAACTTTAAATACTTTTAACATAACTTTAACCCGTCTTACAATAAATTAACGCACACCCGCCGTTTTGGAGAATTTGTGTTTCTGTTCAGCCTTTTTTTCCTATTGGCTAGGGGCTACTCTCTTTATTTTTAGGACAATTTCAAATTTGGTACCACTAAAAGTCATGCACCTCAATTTTGCTACCTCTTAAAAAAAAAATTTATTATACTACCACTCAAATCAGTGTTGTCAAAATTCAGTACCATTTGACTGAGGCTGTTAAGTTTGCCGTTTGGTGGGCCCCACGTCAGTTAACTAACACCCTTTCAGTTCTTCTCTCTCCTACCTGAACTCTTCATTGCCTTCATTGAATACTCACAACCATCTCCATTAAAGGCTGAGTTAATTTAAAAAAAATAAAATTTTACGAACAATTATCTCTCCTCTGTCACCATCACCATCTCCATCTCTCATCTCTACTTTTCTGCAAATTGGAGGTGAAAATTGAGTGCGTGGAAGGCAGTAACTGGAACAACGAAGCAGAGGAAGACAAAGCCCTGCGAGAAAGCGTCATCTCCATTGTTGTAAGTTGAAGATTCGCCTGACAACGACGCATTAGAAGGTACGTAACCCTATCTATTTATAGTGGTCCAACAATGGTGCTAATTTTGCAATAATTCTTTGTAGTTGGGGTATTTTAGGAAGAATATGCAGTAAACCCTAGATTAGTGAGCTTTGATTATTTTAAGCAATGTGGTTTGACTAATTAAAAATTGATGCTTTCACAGTCATGTGGTAGGGTATTCGCCTTTTTTTGTTAATGACTTGCATTGATTTAGTTACAGTTTATAATAAAATAGGGCTTGATGTATTTGTTTATTGCTCTTTAATTGTAGATAAAAACAAATGGCTGTTGTTGATAATGAGGTTGACATTAAGCTAAGAATATTTGGGGGTTTTCTGATTAAGAACCGTAAGGGAGGAGGGCAGTACCAAGTGTATGAAGGTGGGTTCACATATTGGAAAAGGAATGTGTCTCTCAATTACTTTTCAGTAGGATACTTAAGGTATTTATGTGTTGAAGGGATTAGGGACATGGGGTGGGATGTACCTACCCTATATGTTGTGTGGTTCAAAGAGAAGGGTAAGTCTTGGATGACTGGTAAAAGAAAGATAGAAACTGATGAGGATGTGGCAGGGTTATTAGAAACCAAGCACAGGGATGGGTATTTAGAGTTGTATTGTACAGTTTCTGATGACCCCACCCCTAGGCAGAACCCACAAAGCATTGAAAGTGCCCATGTGTCTGCCCAAAGTGTTACTGGATCCAACCCAACCCAAGCACATCAATCTGAAACACAACAATGTTGTACCCCACCTCAAAAACAAAAGTCTGTCCAAACTATTCCTGGATCCAACCCAACCCAAACACAGCCATCCCAAACACAGAAAAGCCCTATCTTGCTTGAAAAACAGAATAAAACACAAAAAGCTACTGAACATGTGCTGAGAAGAAGCCCTAGACTTGTTACAGTTCCTGAAACAGAACCTGTTGAGAACAAAGTGAGGAGAAGCCCTAGGTTTTGTAGATCTATTGATAAGGGGAAGGGTAAGGTTTCAGTAGAAAGTGGTGATACTGGTGTGAGTCTGCATAAGGGTAGAGGGAAGAGAATTAAGAAAGAAAAAGCAAAGAGAGCTCTGAAATTGGATGAAGAGGAGGAATCAGGTGGGTCATCAAGCTTAGATGCAACTGATATAGACATTGATTGGGAGCCTTGGGAAGAAGAGGCAAACAGTGATGATGATGATGAGTGCCATAGGCAAACTGGAGAAGGCATCCTAACTGCAGTGCACAAAAGCTTGGAGGTTGTGACACATAAGGGTGAAACTTCAGAGGGTCTTGGTGTTGAAAGGGAGGGGAAATTGAAACAACTGAGCAAGGACATTGCTTGGAAGGAAGTGGATGTGCATGATGAAAGCTCTGATTCAGATGAGCTTAGAAGTTTGCATGGGTCAGATGAGGAAGAGGATGAAAGTCCATGGTTTCATGAGGAGACTGATTTCAAAAAACCAGTTGTACTAGTGAATAAGTTGCAGTTCAAAAACAGCACCATTCTAAGGAAAGCATTGAGGACACATGCTATAGAGAACAGATATGAGTATTACTATCTGCACAATGGTGGTAAGAGGATAACCACATTCTATAAGAGAAGGTGTTTGTGTGAGTGGAACTATAAAAGAAGCAAAATCACAGGGGAATGTAACTGCAGTTCAAAGGTTAGAAAGTGCAAGTTTAAGGTGGCTGCTAGAAGAATGTACAACAGTCAAGCATGGCATATCATTGATTTCAGACCAAAGCATATGTGTATGAGGAGTAAAAAGAATTCAATGGTGAATGCTGAGTATCTAGCTGAGAAGTATGTTGAGGAATGGAGGCACAACTCTAGTTGGGATTTAAAAAGTTTTAGAGCAAGGGTGCTGAGTGACTTGGGCATTATAGTAGGCTATTCCAGAGCTTGGCTTGCTAGAGCTAGGGCAAAGCTGATGATTTATGGGTCAGCTACAGAGCAATATGCCAGGGTTTTTGATTATGGCAAAGCTGTTATCAAGTATAGTCCTGGCACTGGGGTCTGCAAAGTTGTAGATGGGGAAGTAAGCAGCCCTCAACCACCACTCTTTATGAGGATGTACATATGTCTTCAACCATTGAGAAGTGGTATGATAAAAGGGTGCAGGCCTCTGATTGGTATATATGGATGTCATCTAAAGGGAGCCTACCCAGGACAAATACTGGTGGCTGTTGGAAAGGATGGGAACAACAACATATATCCACTGGCCTGGGCTACAGTTGAAGTTGAGAACAAGGACACTTGGTGCTGGTTTTTGGAGTGTTTAAAAAAGGATCTTGGTGATGTGTGTGAAGGTGGAGGTTGGACATTTATGTCTGACAGACAGAAGGTGAGCTACCCTAATTATACTACTAATTACAGGAACTACTTTGTTTTGACAAGCTATGCATTAATGTCTTGATTGTGGATACAGGGTCTCCTTGAAGCCTTGGAGGTGCAAGTCCCATTTGCTGAGAAGAGGTTCTGTGTAAGGCATATCTGGGCCAACTTCAAGCTTCAATTCAGTGGCTCAACCTTCAAACAGTTGTTCTGGGATGCTGCTAGGGCTACAACATTGGTGAGTCAGTCAACTTTACTCCTATGTTTGATTAGTTTGTTCAATTTGTTTGAAGATGCATCAACTGTGATTAGTTGCTTTAATTTGATTGCTCTCTTAAATTGAGATGTTGGATGTTTCTTAAATAGTTATGATGTATTTTGTATGATGTGGTAGGCTGACTTTAAGGTGGCAATGGAATCAATTAAATTTCTGTCTGAGGATGCATTTGTTTTTCTTGATGACATTCCTGCTAAGTATTGGTCTAGGCATGCATTCTCTTCTTATTGCAAATCAAATATGTTGTTGAACAATGTATGTGAGACCTTCAATGCTGTTATAAGAGAAGCAAGGGACAAGCCAATACTCACTCAGATGGAGTGGCTGAGAAGGTATATGATGAAGAGGCACAATGAGAAATGGGAGGCTGGCAAGATAATGGAAGGTAAGGTGACACCCTATGTCACTAAGCTTTTTGAGAGGATTGAGAGGGCTGCAAGGCACTGCATAGTGCATGATTCAAGGGGAGACTCCTATGAGGTTGAGCTAAATGGGGATACAGTGCTAGTTGACATAGGTAACAAGACTTGCACATGTTACCATTGGCAATTAACTGGTATTCCATGTATACATGGGTTTGCATGCATTTTGGATAAGAAGGTGGACCCAGAAGACTTTGTGGATGAGTATTACACCAAGCAGAAATATATGCATGCTTATGAGGAAGCTGTTAAGCCCATGCCTGGACCTAAGCATTGGGAGAAGCATCATTTTACAGAGCCCTTACCTCCAGCAATCAGAGTAATGCCTGGGAGGCCAAAGTCAAAGAAAAGAAAACTGGAGAGAGGTGAGGGAGCACCTCAAAGCAGTAGCAGCCAACCAAACCCCAATAAAAGACAGAAGAGGTGTGGCAACTGTGGCCAGTTTGGTCATTATGCCAAGACTTGTAAAAATGCACCAGTGCAAGTTCCAGCACCTCCACCAGAGGCCACCAAAGCATGCAAGCCTCTTTTGCAGAATGATTGGGTCAAGGAGCAAAGAAGGAGGAAGGAGGCAAGGGCTGCTTGGAAGGTGTGTAATTTCTCCTACACAAACTGTAGATTGTGTTCTTATTTTTCTATTTTTTTTAAAACAGGCTGGTGGAACTCCTGGACCAAGGAGCATAGCTAACAAGAAATTCCCTCAAGAGACACCCCAACAACATGTTCCCTGTACCCAAGCCTCCCAGGCATCAACAACTACAACTGCAGCACAGAAGCCAACAACTCAGGGGAGAAGGAAAGGGAAGAAGAAGAATTAGGCTTTACTTCTGTTTGAGAACCTAGTCATGTACCCTGCAACTATGCTACTACTGTTTTTAAGTGAACTATCTTTTGGCACAGTTTGTCTGTAACAACTAAGAACAAGTTATTACTTGGCATTATGCACTTTGGTGTTGTCCAGTATATTAATGATTTTGGTCTACTTATATGTTAATTGTCATTGCACTGCAAATATTTACAAGTTGCATTGAATCTTGGTCATTTTTTTAGCCAACACAATTAAACTTCCACCATTTTATTCAAAATACTTCAAAGTCTTACATTTGCAATTTGTACTCACAAAACTACTTCTCCTAAGTACAGAAGCAATAACAGTACCCTAATCTCATTTCATTACAATTAACACACCAACAATCACAAATACACAACACATTACACTTGCTATCACACAAAGCATTCCTCCAACACCACTGTTCTGCCCTTCCTTGTTGTATTTCTTCATCTCAGAACTTAGAGCTTTGCACTTCACTATCAGGTTGTCATTTTCAGTTAGCAAACACCTTCTTTGGCCACTTAAGTCTTCAAGTTCTCTTTGCAGTGAGTTCATCTCCCCCTTCATCAACTTTTTATCCAGTAGAAGTTGATTGATGACATCCCTTTGCCACTCAGTGCCTTCTTCCTCATCCACCCACTCAAAGCACTTACAACCCCTACTTTCTGTTTTAGGATCATAGAATTTGCAGGCTTTGAACTTTCTTCCAGGGTTCTCTCTTGTCCATGAAGTCAGCCTAGCCATAGGAATCCCACAGTCACACTTCCTCTGTTTGGAGGGAGAAGACCTAATGAACGACATTGCAGCCTGTAATTCAACCAGAATTATCAACAATTTTATTCGTACAATCATTGTTTAACAAATATCAAAATCAATTTCACCTACTCATTTCCCAGCTTAAAACCCCCAATTTCAATTAGGTTATGAACCCTAACTCGATTGAATGAAATTAAGTACTAAATTAACACAATTGAAAAAGAATTATTGTATTATGCTTCATTCCAATTAAAATCACCCATTAACCAGCAATAATTTCAACGAAAAACACCTATTTCGTCTCCTTATTGGTGTCGCATAAATGAAATCATTGGGTTAAATGGCAGTGCTCACCTTAACACCAGTAAACAACAACCAGCAATTTCACCTTCTCTGCTATTCGCAATTGATCCAATTTGACAAATTCTCCAACATCATAGATTGATTTTAACAACTTACGTTTTTTTTTAAGCTAACAGCTGGAGAAGATGGGGGTACCAACAGTTACTTATATTCAGGATACAAACAAAAGTACCGTTGAAGTGGGGCCCACCAAACGGCAAACTTAACAGCCTCAGTCAAATGGTACTGAATTTTGACAACACTGATTTGAGTGGTAGTATAATAAAAAAAAAAATTTTAAGAGGTAGCAAAATTGAGGTGCATGACTTTTAGTGGTACCAAATTTGAAATTGTCCTTATATTTACTCATATTAAGGGCGTGTCCTGCACTAGCGTTTGAGTAGCTTTTAGTGGTTTGACTTATTCAAACCATTACTTCCCTACCTTTTAAAAAGTACTTTCTTTGTTCCACAAATATTGCAGCAAGGATGAAATTACGCATCCCAAAACACATTTTATATGTTAAATATCTATAATTATATAAGAATAAAAATTATAAAAAGTTGATATTGTGAAAGTATTTTCCGAGACGAATCTAACAAGACCGACTCCACATGAATATATTTTACTTTACGTATAAATCACAATATGTGGTCAAACAAGCATGGTGAACAGTGTAAAAGTCCAGTTGTTGCAATATTACTAGAACGGAGGAAGTATGAGATAACACTTATGAATAGTGCTTGGACAATTACCCTCTAAAATGTTTATTTAATATTTACTTAATTGCTCCCATTAATGTTAATTAGCTCTTTTTTTAAACTCTTAAAATTAATGTGCGGACATTTAAAACCCTATAAATATTTGTTTATATATTTTCTCTCATTAATGGTACTAACAACTAAAGTTATGATGTAAGGACAAATCGAAAGAGCTTCCCAAAAGTTATTAGTTATGGCGCGCGCATCGCGCTCGTTAGCCTCCCTAGTAGTAAAAATCGTTAGCGTCCCTAGTAGTAAAAAAAAAATATGAGTGTTTGGCAATGTAGCAATGGGAGTAGAGTTTAGTGGTTGGAACAGCTTTTGTGAAAAGCTAGGCAGCTGTTGGAATTTTCTTCTATATTTTTAGAATTTTACAACTAACAGCTAGTTAACAGCTACTTTACCAAACACTCATTATTAATTATATGCTAGATGAAGCCCGTGCGATGCACGATTTGTTTGTATTTTTTAAAATATCATTTAATATTTGTATTTTAAAATAAATTGTGAACTTTCTTTCATTCGTTTTATATTTAGATAATATTTATAATCTCAAAAGATATAATTTTATATTTAATTAACTTACACCTGAAAAACTCATTCGCCAATTTCACTTATGTGGCATTTGAATTATTTAATTTTAAAAGAAATTACAAATCTCTTATTTAATTGGTTATAACTAAAATTTATAATCCTACATGGCGTGTTGAGAAATTTAATCCTACGTGGCTCTCTAACAACTCAAGAAAAAACTCCCCTTTATGTATATACTAGTACCTGCCCCGAGCATTGCCCCGCCCATTTTAAAGAGTGTATTTATTTGTAGGCATGTTTTGTATTATTATTATTAATAACTATAATAATAACAATAATAATAGTTATTATTATTAGCATTTATATTTTTTAAAGATGTTAGATACAAAAAGAGAGTAGAAACACTACCTATTATTCTTTTTACACGTTTGTTATTATTTTCTATATTTGTAAGTGGCATTGGTCTATATATATATATATATATATATATATATATATATATATATATATATATATATATATATATATATATATATATATATATATATATATATATATATATATATATATATATATAATACACTACAAAAAAATGTCCATATAGAAACGGAATTCTAGCGATGGAATTCAATACGTTTTTAAATTAGAGACGGAATTAAAATATCCATCTCTAAATTAATTTAGAAACGGAATTAAAAAAATCCGTTTCTAAATTAGAGACGGAATTAAAAAATCCGTCTCTAAATTAGAAATGGAATTGAAAATCCGTCTCTAAATTAGAAACGGATTTTTTCCGTTGCTAAATTTAGAGACATATTTTTTTTTTCCATTGCTAAATTAGAGACAGATTTTTTTTTTTACTTTTTTTTTCTTTTTTTTTTTCTTTTTTTTCCGTTGCTGATATTAGCGACGGATTTTTAATTACGTCTTTAAATTATTTTCGAAACGAATTACGTAAAATATTACTTCAGATACGAATTATGTAAACTAAAATCCGTCTCTAAACTAGAAACGGATTTTCAAATTCGTCTCTAGGTTTCCGTCTCTGAACTGGAGACGGATTTGAAAATCCTTTTCTAAGCTAGAGACGGATTTTAAATTCCGTCTCTAATATTTCTTTCACTTATTATCAATTGTGTGCGTAGAAGTAAACAAATAAAATTTGGTATAGTTGGTAAGAGTTTCACTATGTGACTTTAAGGTCACGGGTTCGATTCCTATCTATTGCGATTCTTGAGATTGGGGATTTATGGAGCCTTACATGCAAAACCGAGTCGGGTTAACCCGAGTGAGGTCGAACCTAATAGCATCTACTTTTAGACACAAAATAATATTTACCGTTGCTAAATTAAGAGACAGATTTTTATTTATTTGTTTTTTTTTTCCCGTTGCTAAATTTAGAGACGGTTTTTTTTTTCCGTTGCTGATATGAGCGCCGTTGCTGATATGAGCGATGGTTTTTTTTTTCCGTTGCTAAAACCAGCGACGGAAATAAAAATCCGTTGCTAAGTTCAGCAACGGAAAACAAATACAACTTTGCTAGTCTCATTTAGCGCCAACAATTTTGCCAACGGAGTAATTCCGTTTCAAAATCTGTTGCTACCTATATTTAGCGACAGAAAAGTACAATCTAGCAGCGGATTTGATCTGTTATATATGTGTGTGTGTGTGTGTGTGTATATATATATATATATATATATATATATATATATATATATATAAGAGACTCTTGTGAGAACCCATCCTTTATGTAAGAACATTTCCTTACGTGAGAACAAATCTAGACAATTAATTATATTTCATTTGAAGGTTGAGATTAATTGGTGAGTAATGGCATTTTCGTAATATTATAGAACATGTACTCTCAATCTTACTATTCACGTCATTTGATTTATCTCTCCAAAAACATTCAGTAACTTTTTATGTACCCATCTCTCTCTCTCTCCTCCATCGAAGCAGATTCTTAAGACTTGTTTCCACCATTGAAGCGACTTCTGAGCTTTCTCTCTCCCATTGAAGCGACCTCTAAGCTTATCTCCTCATTAAAGCGATTTTTAAGGTCATCAACACATATTACAAAAAATAAAAATAAAAAAATTCGAATTGAAAATGTCAAAATTAATTGAAATTCATAAATTATAACTTATTGAATTGTCGATTAGGAAGTTAATGTTGTTGATTCCGTTTGTTATTCGTGTTGTTTACTAACATCCATTTGTTTTTTTTAGATTTCAAGATATTTTTCTTTCATTTTCATTTTTTGTAAAAAAAATAAGAGTAAATTTGATAAACTATAGACTAAATTGAAAATTTGTAGATGGATTTTGAAGTAATTTGCAAGTATTTTGGGATAATTGTGCGTATATCGGTGAATTTTGGGTGAATTTTTGAATATTTAGGATAGAAAGAGTATGTGTGGTATGCTTTACTAATTACTAGCTACGAGATTCTGTTTTTCCTCTTTTCTTTATATTAGTATTTCATGTTCTAAATGACAAAGTTTCATCAATTACTAGCTACGAGATTCTATGTGTGGTATGCTTTACTAAATATGGTTGGGTTATATTTGCTCATTTAAGATATGGTTACATTATATTTGTTCATTTCAGAAATGATTACATTTGCTCATTTTCAATCAATATAGTTACGTTTTCTCCTTTGATTTTCCTTTATGCATTTTTACTATGTGTTTTTGCTTATTTTATTTTAATTTGCTCATTTGAATTCAGTTTGCTCATTTTAATTTAGTTTAGTTTGTTCATTTTAATTTAGTTTGCTCATGTCTATGTGTGGTGGTGGTGTGATGTGGGCGAGTGTGTGAATGAACAGTAGGTTGCTCATTTGTGTACATGTGTGTAATTTGGTGAAGTTATGCTTGTGAGTGTGTTGATTTCACACCAGTGTATGTTGTGATGTGCAGATTTGTGAGTTTGCCTATAAATGGGCTATTGTATGTTGTGTGTAAGAGGGAGTGTGATTGGTTAGGTGGTGTCATAGTTGTAGGTGATGATGTGTGACTGTGTAGAGGCAGGCTATAGGTCATTGGTGTGTGAGATGCAATGAGCAAGTATTTAGGCAAATCGATAAGTTGGAAATACGATAGAGTGTAGCATATCCTTCATTTTTGAAGTAAAGATTTTTTTAGAGACATAGTACTTTCTATACAAAAATATATACTATGATAAGTTAATTAATTGTCGAATTTCTACCTAGCACTAATGTGAAATTCAATTATGTTGCATTTACGCAGTAAGATATTGTGATTGAACTGATACTAACCTTGTAGACATGTTGCAATTTGCTTCATACAGAATTGAGAATAGTAATGTGTGTTAGCAAGTATGTTTGTTCTTAGCTTGACAATTTATTTATAATGGTTGTTACAACTATGATAATTATAAATATATTGGCATAGTAGCCTTTGAAGCTGTCTGAATGAATTTGTCCTGCAAAAACTTT